TGGTACTTAATATTTGTCCGCTAATTGCTACGCGTCACATATATCCGCAATTCATTTTCCCCGCATTATGTTATTGTCTTTTACCCCCGCCGTGTTCGCATTTTCGCTTTGTCACTTCTATCCCATTTTTCTGCATTACATTCTCGCTTAGTCATTATTCCGCGCCACTCGCTCGCGCAACCGCATTTTACAGGCGAGAACTAAATTTAATGTCGTTAAAAGCGTTTTCTCATTGTCACCGACGGTGACCGGTCGTTTTCTACATGCGTGCAGAATTTGAGCGAATTTCCTGTTTGCGATATCTTTTTCTTCCGTTGGCGCGAGGGAGACCGATATAAGACTTCAAGAACAGTGCAAATACGCTACTCCCGCGAAAAGTTTATTTTCGAAGGTTTCCAACACGATCGGAATTCGGATCAGATCGTGGGAAGAAGTTCGTTACAGTAACGAACCAGCAAACCTTTTACCGGACCCCGTGCCCGCCCGACTCCTTAATTTTGTTCTCCAAGTAGAGAAGCGTCGGATCTGTTATTGGGCAAATCCACACGCACACACACATACATATACACACGACACACACATTCACAACGAACGGGTACAAACTTCCTAAAACGGGCGACTATATGAGCGTGAAAAATATACTTTATAAGTACCGAACTTCGCTATTAGCTAGCAAATTGCTCTTTTCGGTTGATTTTACACGAAAACTTTTAAATATTGGTTTCAAAAAAAATTGATAATCCCTCGCAAAAGTTTTCGCAACGGCGTAGCTCCAAACTTCTGAAGCATAAAAATAGATATCTCGGATCGTAAATCAAGATATCTCTATTTAACGCGAAAGAGAGCGTAAAGAGTAACGTAAAGAGGAGCACATTGTTTGCAATCTCATTCATATTGTTAAAGAATAGAATGATATTATCATATATCATATATGTTTTTTTTATAGAAAGATCAGTTTACGCTATTCTTTAAATCATAAAAAAACGAGTTTTGATATATATGTAGATGTATATAATCCTTTGTCTCTCTCTCTTTTTTGTTGATATTGCACATTGGAGATAATAGATTAATATTACAAAAGATAAAATCCATGTCATATATTTACATCTTATCCATGCTATATTTACAGGTTTTTTATTCCCTTTCTCTTGGAAATAAAAAGTTGTTTATTTTCCCTCTATATGTGGTTAAGGATTCAGTGGCTCCATATTGTAAACTTTTTATCGCGAAAAAAGTACATCTAAACTTCATTAAACATTGCCTAGTAAATGCACGCGTTTCTGCAAACTTTCTGCAAAAGTAAATATCGCAATAGTCCAATACCTTAATAAATTTTAAGTAAAACGGATTTTATTTTATTAATTTTACTTTCATTCATTAAAATTAATATTTGGATGATCGTGTAGAGAGTGTGCAGGATGTTTCTCGGCTTTCGCGGGAATCAGCGCCGAGCGCTGCAGAAATTTGCATTTTAATCTTCATATCAACATTGAGAAGTTCTTGTATTTCGCGAGACATTTTGAAATGCGAAATCTTTGCAATAACAGAGGGAAGATTCTTAGTAAATGCGTTTTAGCGCTTAAATAAATTTAATGTGTAATAATAAAATTATGAATAAAATTACGATTGCATTTAAAAATTATAAATAATCGTTTAAATTAAATTTTTTTAACTGCTAAATCGTTACGCCGTAAAAACCTACGATGTAATCTTATAGTTTTGACTAGAACGTTATCCAAAAGCAGATTGGAATCTTCGTTGTAAGACATATGACGTTCCTTTAAAAATAGCCATTTCATAATGTACGCGTAGTAAAGTTTATCGTCCGCGATTAAAATCTCTGCGGACGATAAAATTCCTCTGTATTCCGGCAGAACGGAAATTTTCTTCGAGTCGCGAACAAATTGTGATTCTACGCTCGTGAAACCGTCGAAGGCTCGCTTCGCATTTCGCTTCATGGAACTTTATAAGTCCCATCAACGGTTCTCGCTGGCATCTGCGTAGAAATTTACGCGCGATTTCGCCATAACGTGGCTATCGACTCGTCCCGTCCACGGGAATAAACCTAGCTTTAATGGCATACTGAATCGGTTTAACGTCTCGATAGATGCCGAAAAGGATTTCGCCCTCGCAGGGAAACGCCGCCGACGCTTTCGTCTAATGCCTTCCAAAATTTGCATCCTAATCTTTGTAAACCCCGCAGGGATTACCGCCGCCGTCTTCTTTCATCGTCTCAAGGATTTGCTTAACCTCGGCTTTCTTTGAGAGGCGACTCTCGTCCTACTGCGATCGATATAACATTTTACAGAACCTCCGGTAAAGTGCGCGCCTCGTAACGCGAAAAAATATATTAAAAATATGTAGAGTATGTAAATTAACATTTGAATTGAAATGCATATTTAGAGTGTACGAGTGCTCGATTACATACATTATTAACAAATATTATATACTTTGCGCAACATTATGTTCTGGACAAGATTAATAATGCTAATATACACAATAATAGGACGCAATATTACATAACGGTATTTCGTGACTGCGGAAGTTCGTCGTAAATCGTACGTCGCACCGGATGTAAGCCACCCGATGTCTGGAGAGTGGGCGAAACTCAATGTGAGTTCGAGCGCCAATTAATCAGAAAATCATCGTAAATGCCGGTGACATTATCGGCACTGAGAAACGTCGCAAGTTTCGGAAGACATCGTGCTAGGGATGGCCACCGGATTGGCAGCTAATCAAATACAGTATGGACGAAGGGGTTGAAGGTAGAGAAGATTTATTGTAAGTAAATACAATTAGGAGTTACGAGTGCCTTCGAGTAACCTTTGGTCCCAGCTGACGCTAACTCAACTACAGCGAACCTGACCTAACTAAATAATCGAATTAGAGTCACCTTCTACTCACGATGACGCTCTTCCCCCTCCCCCCTGTTACGAAGTCCATTTCTCGTCTTCTCATCCACTTCTAACTTACATTCGACACGATTCCCCGAACCGTACTCGAACCGCGGAATTGGTCCCGGAATGGTAAATTGACTGTGGCTTGGCGACGGACACGATTTCTCAGGTGTTGCGATTGTTCGTCGACATGATCTTCGTAGATAGATCTTCGTAGAGGCAACATCTGAATGGGAAATTAGGAAGTGTCGATAAACGTAAGAAATCATTAACAGTATTGGCAATGTAATTGCAAATTGCTAACATAAATTTATCTGTCGCTGAACATATTTAGATGAAGAAAAAAGATTATTTTCTTGATTAAGAATTATTTTCTATTTTATATTTGACAATTCAGTTCCCGTATAGTTTTGTATCACGTTTTTCCAATGTATCCTAGATTTTTTACTCCGTAAAGGAATAAAAAGAGCGTAGCTTTCCCATAATCCTTCTCGACTACAATAGGCATCGCTCTACTTTGCTAATCTAAATTTATTTGCTATTGAAGATATTTAAACAAAGAAAAAGAATAGTGATTATTTTCTCAATTAACAATTATTTTCTATTTTATATATAATTATTTATATTATATATAATTATATTTAATTATTCAGTTCCCCTATAATTTTGTATCAGATTTTTTTTTTTTAATCTATCCCAGAGTTTCTGTTTTATAAAGGAATAAAAAAAAATATAGCTTTCCCATAATTCTTCTCGATTACAACAGGCACCGCTCTACTTTGCTAACATAAATTTATATGCCGCTGAACATATTTAAACAAAGAAAAAAGATTATTTTTGTAAATAAGAATTATTTTCGGCTTTATATTTGATAATTCAGTTCTCGTATAATTTTATATCAAGTTTCTCCAATGTATATCCTAGATTTTCTGTTCCGTAAAGGAATAAAAAGAGCATAGCTTTCCCATAATCCTTCTCGACTACGATAGACACCGCTCTACTTGTAGGCAAATTCGCATGCACCACGTTCCTCACAAAGTGCAAAGTTCCTTCGCGACGAAGTTGGGATATCGATACTCAACGATTCGACGAAACACTACGCCATGCCTGCTTTCTAAACAGCTTTCGAGCGCGACAAACGATCCCCTCGGTTCTCGATCGACATCTGATCAATCTTGACGAAACATCGGCGCCGATGCGCCTTCTTCGAGATGGCGACTTCTCGCATTGAGAATATACGCAACTTTTCTCCTTCGTCCCGGAAAGTTTCCGGACTTACGGCAGTTTGCGACAACGAAACTTTCGCGTGTCCGAGTTCCCGGCGAGAAGTTCGCGCTATGTGCAATTGACATATTGACACGCATTTCCAAATACACTCCAATTCTAAGCTCATACGCCTCTTGATCACGGCTCCAATTATCTCGGAGATTAATTTGAATGACAACGCAATTTCCCGTGCAATCAAGATTAATTAGGAACAAGGCAAGAGAGAACGTTTTCCTTATATAAGAAAGCTCCAAGAAAATAATAATAATAATAATAATAATGACAAGTAATAACGATCGGGCTGTCACGATATATTAAGAGATTTATCGCTTGCAAATTGCAGATGACGCCAGATAAGCGATCACTGATTTATCATGGCAAATGGCTACGTCACCGCGCGGTATTCATCGTGGATTGTTCGTTTTATGTCCGCCGAATTTCTTGAAGCCCGCCTGAAAGGCCCTTTTTATTGACGGACTATCGGCGCAACCGCGCCACATCCGATAAGGGCGGCCCGTCAATAAAAGCGCATCGATGATTTACGAGCCGCATGCGGAATGACGACAAAAACAGATCGCAATAAATCGCGCGAGTACATCGACCGCGCGGATTATTTGCTGTATATCACTTTGAAAGAATCCGTAAATTTGCCTGCCGCGCGCCAAGATCCCATCGTAAATACCATGATACCATGGTGGCATAGGTCGGCTCGCGACGTAGGTAATTTATCGCGCTAACGTTTTCTTTTATTGTCGCAACGCATAAAAGCCGGCGCCGGTTACGCACGCATACGAAATACGCATATGTACACTAACATGCGAAACACGCGTGTTTCAGGATAAACGAAAACACAACACGGTCCCAGTTCCTGGCCTACTTCAGCTTCTCGTCCAAAGCGAGCACGTCCGTCGGCTGGCCAGTGAGGGGCGGACATCCGGTTAACAATACGGGTAAGATGTTTAGCTCGCTTTTCTGAAAAATGAAAATTATGTTACGTCCTAACGCCCAACTTCCGCACGTACATTTTCCATTTGCATTTCGTAACGCGCGTTACACAACTCAGCGACCAGCAACGAACAAAAACAAAAAATTCCTGTCTGAAAATTAATTTTTTTGTAGAATTATGTAATATAATAATTACATATATATTATTTACATTTTATTTATTTATTTTATAATAATATAATTTTTGTATCGGTTTAATTTTGTATTAATTTCATAGATTTGAAAATCCTTTTCCACAAAAATTTAAAATTTATGCATTAATACGTATCTAGCATATGAATTTCGTATCAAGAACAAGAAAAATTTTTATAATATAGATTTTTTTATCATTTAGTATTTTAATATGGCGTCCAGAGTTGTCAGGTCGCGTCAATATTTGCTTTATATAAAAATTTTAGCAGTCTGTACCTACAAAACTGATATTGCTGGAAGATTACATGAAGAAACAACATTGAGTTCTTAAAATTAGGCTAGATAGTAATGTACAAAAGTCGACACGAAAATTTGTTCACATGTGTGCAGAGATGTATGAGTGTACGTATGTATACATAAATGTATTTATATATGTTTAGATATGCATATGTGTGAACGCTCTTGTTGGAGTTCGCTCGTCTGTTCAGCGTCCCCTTAAAGCCGTTTTGAATTTAATAATCCGCCAGATGATGAGAAATTAGCGTTTGCTTCGGCTGCATATTACGTTCCACATCGATATCTTGTATCGATGTAATTGTTTCGGGTCTCGCATTATCGCGAAATCTATAACGTGCTTAAAGTCACGAGGCAATCATGAAAGCAGTGATCTGTTGGACAAGTGAGATTATGGTGCTACGTAAACTTGATCGCCTGATCGCGCTCGCTACACGTCCTGTTTCGGACCGCTCCTATCGTAGACTATTGCTCAAACTACACGCCAACAACCCAGTTCACTATCGGTTCCCCCATGACGGTAACTTCATCTTCCTGTAAATTACACCCCCGTGGTGTGGTTTATCACGCGAAATGTTCAACCGCGCGGGCAATCTACGTAGATAGCGCTCTTCTTAACACCCTTGTGACAAATTTACGCGAGCCAACAAAAGTAGAGTTTTCAGATACCGTTTCCGGATACGCGACTACTTGCGCACGCGCGCGCGTTTCCCCGTTTCACGAGGGAACGAAGGGCGATGTTTGCGGAGATTTTTGGAGTAAATAAAACGTTCTCCGCAATATTTTTGCGAATCAAATAGAGGCCGGGTATCCCCCCGTGAATTGGGGGAGAGCAATTTTATTCGAATCTTTCTCTCTGAAAGCCACGTCGGAACGGAAACAAACTATTTAACTAACTCGCTAAAGCGTAAACCTCGCTAGAATGTTCGCAAATTATCGATGCGCGTTTTGCATGTAGAATCGAGTTACGCGTTAACCTCGTTGCTCCCCACTCGATTAAAGCATACGTTGGCGAACGTTCGTCAGGTTCTCCAACGCGTCTCCTGTAAAAATTCACAACGAAAAATCAGAACCGCAAAACGAAAAAGGTAAATGGGAAAGGAAAGAGAAGTTTATATCATCGGTTTTTGTACGTGCGCGTATTCTTTTCCTGCGATGAGAAATCCGAGTGAATCGCTGGAATTGCAAGCTTTTGAGCATTTTCGCCCATGATGACATTTTCGGAATCCGCTGATACCCGAAGGTGGAAAATGTGAACAGCGAGCGCTAAAGAAAAAAAGAAGGAGTTGCCAGAAACGTGTGAATTTATTTGCACGAGCAACGTGGAGAGATAATTTCTTCCTCTAAAATTATACAAGCTTAAGTGCGAACCAGTTCGCGCTCTAAGCGAAAAAAGGAACGATGAATCTCGTCTCTCTTTCTCTCTGAAAGCATGTAGCTGTGAAAGTGTTAAAAGACTAAACTTTGAACATCAGTCAGGTTCTCCAACGCGTCTCCTGTAAAATTCACAACGAAAAATCAGAACCGCAAAAACGAAAAAAGGTAAATGGGAAAGGAAAGAGAAGTTTATATCATCGGTTTTTGTACGTGCGCGTATTCTTTTCCTGCGATGAGAAATCCGAGTGAATCGCTGGAATTGCAAGCTTTTGAGCATTTTCGCCCATGATGACATTTTCGGAATCCGCTGATACCCGAAGGTGGAAAATGTGAACAGCGAGCGCTAAAGAAAAAAAGAAGGAGTTGCCAGAAACGTGTGAATTTATTTGCACGAGCAACGTGGAGAGATAATTTCTTCCTCTAAAATTATACAAGCTTAAGTGCGAACCAGTTCGCGCTCTAAGCGAAAAAAGGAACGATGAATCTCGTCTCTCTTTCTCTCTGAAAGCATGTAGCTGTGAAAGTGTTAAAAGACTAAACTTTGAACATCAGTTCTCCCCAACTGATCTTTAAATAATATAAATTTAAAAATAAGATTTCTTATCTCCAATGTGATCGATACTTCTCTATACTCATTTAGATGGTCTTAAGATAAACATGAGTTTCACTTAGGAATCTTTTAAAATAATCGAATATAATTAATATAATAAATAGAATATAATAAATAGAAATAATTGAATAGATGTTATTTTCGTAGTAAAAAGTACAAAGTGAACAGGTTTGGGAATTAAATTAAATTTATTTTGTTTGCACCATTAAAAAGTTTTTTCTCTCGCTCGTTTAATTATAAATACTATTTGTAAAAAAAAATCTCACAAACCCTTTTTTGTTTACAATCAATGAACTACTATTTAATTGTATAGCGATCTCTCGTATCGCTTTAATAGTTGTATTGTGCAACTTGGAAAGGCCGCCATAGGTAGCGAGAAAATTGAAAAGCCCTTTTAAAAAAATTGCACGATACTCTTATGAGAAAAGTTTCATATATATGTGTCTTTGGACTTTCGCGTCTAGTAATATTGTGTAATGACGTAGAGTTCTTTGACTTACCGTCACCCCAAGAAACATACGCCGCATTTCGCGAACAGCCGGTGCACCGAACCTGGGAAGAATAAAAAATTTGCTGCTGTCATTTTATTTCTTGTTATATTTTTATTAAGAAAAAGTCTTTTCTGCAATTGTCAGTTAAATTTCATTACAAGCATTTTTAACTCTAAAAATGATGTTTCAAGTAATCATATTTCATAAAAAGAATATTTTTAAAACATATTATTTTTTTATCAACACATGTTCTTTCCAATCAGATTCGTACACTCATATCGCGTAAGTTCAATCCCAATTGATGATATTACAAAAAACATCTTACGTTGGTGGACATCTTTATAAACGAATTGATTTGAACGATTGTACTACAAAGAAAAGGCAATCAGCAATTTTTTATAGGCATCGCGCAATGATCGACAAATGCGACAAACAGAAAAGCGGCGAGAGATAGCCATAGACGAATCCATAGACGATGATGAAATGAAGTTTCGGTGAGAGTTTTCCTGCGCACGACGAGTTGTAACGAGATGACAACGATTCTCGATTATCCCCAAGAGGAGATTGTACCCGACGATCCATATTCGCGGGACGTACGATCGAAAGACGTGACTGTCACTCCGCCGTCCAGACGAGAGAGAGAAAGAGAGAGAGACAAATCTTTTTTTTGACGTCGGTCCACGTTTCCTATTGGGAAACATGTGAGAAGCAACGAACGTAAGACAGAACGAAAAGCGCTGAGAAAGGGTATTCTCGAGGGTGGAAGCGAAGGGCAGCACGCAGAGAAAAAGAAAGAAGGGTAACATCAGGCGGAGGCGCCGCCCGATTGACAAACAGATCAATCGTGGGTGGAAAGACGATCCGCAGTCTTACCACTCGACCTGTCTCCGGTCTCTCTTGCTTTTCTCTCTCTCTCTC